ACTCCACGGTTCAGCGCACACACAGTGGCTAACCCCAGCTTAGCCGACTGAGCTAAGTTGCTCTCCATCCAACCATCTACTGTATATTTATATCCTTTTTAGTATTCAATTCCTTCCAAATTTCATTCATCTCAATGCGGGTGCTAACTATGGATCAAAATGTGTATCCTTTGGTAGTTTTCTTGCTATATGTAACTATAAATAAACCTATAGTCAATTTGTAATTCATTTTATGAGGGTAAAGAATGTATTTAAGTGGGTGGGGTTGGCTTCACAGTGCGGCCAAACTTAGAATCATCTTACGTGATTTTCTTTAATTTCAAAATGAATATTTCATTGCGTACTCATTCAGGAAAATGAGTTAACAAGAATAAAGTATGTTTTATTTTCTCTTGAAAATAGTAGGTGACCCCTTGAGCAGGGACATAGCCAGGATTTTGAAAGGGGGGGGGGGAGCCGTTATGCGAATTACGTATGACTCCGGCGGGGTTCCGGAGGCGAATTCCCCTGTGAAGTAGCGCAATCGGAACGTTCTTAGGACTGTTTTGAGAGGATAAAGTGAAAATTGCAATATAAATTGTATTATAAATAAGTGCAACAATAATTATATAATAAATCAACAACCTGATCCAGAATTCGAAAGAGAGGTGAACCAGGGAGGGACTTTCACAGACCGAGGAACCACCCACCTCAGCACCACCATGGTTGGGGTTGAGGTTTAAAAATTTAGGATTAGGGCATCTCTAGATGGCCGGAAATTACACTCTCACACTTAAATTTGAATGTATTTTTCTTTTTTTTTTCTTTAAAAAAATGAAGGGAGGGGGTGGCGAGCCTTGAATCCTCTGCTCAAAACATTCTTTATCCAGAATAGTCATAATCACGAAAAATTGACATGAAAAACAAGATCGACATCCTAAAAACATCAGGAGCCGACTCGATAGAGTTTAATGTCATACCCAGGGAAGGGCAAAGATCTGTTTTGAAAGGTGGCGGGGGAGGACATTTTGTGAGTCAACACGCACCTCAGACCCACCATGGTTCCGGAGCCATAGAGAATGGTGGAGCTGAGGTGAGAAAATTTGAGGAAACAGTACCTCTAGATCGACGTTCCGCAAACTATGGTCCGCGGCCCAAATTTGGCCGCGAAACATTTTTAGAGGGCCGCGAAGCTTGCACACGCTGCTAAAGTGCCAGATGATGCGTGCTATTTGAATAATTATAAGCGGTTTTGTGTCTATGCCCACTCGGGAGCCTTTATCTGTATATTTATTCCTGACAGTGCTAGTATGCAACATTATTTTCTATAAATAAATATACTGTAAATATACCTTTTTTAAGCATTAAATACATGTCAAGCGCGGATCCAGAGTTCACCCAGGCTCGCACAGATGGCTTCCCATATTGGGATGGTCATGAGAAGAGAGCTAGCTTGTTTTGTCGCTGGAAGATAAATTTTAGATATTCGAAAAGTTTTTGTTTTCTAGATTCTTTGAAATACACTTCGTGCATTATGAGATGTCTGTTATTGAATACACTTTGAGTTCATAGTTTTTCCCTACATTGCTATGGTCAATTAATAATTATGATGATTAAGAAGATGATGATGATGAGGAAGAAGCTGTGCAAGATTAATTAACAGGTCCTTTGATGTGAAGTGTCAAGCGAGGCCCGTAGCCTAAGTTACGGTTGGGAATTTGGAAACATTATCGTAGTCGTCAAACGTTCAATGCACACAGTCGGACAATAGACTGTCTCTTATACACATCTAGATGTGTATAAGAGACAGTTATCTTTGGCTATACGGCCTAGGCTAGTAGGAGGAGGCCTCAGCGGCTCTACATCTAATTTCGTTCCTTGAGTATTTAAAATAGGTCTAGAATATTCCTATTAAACGTTCAGTTTGTTAGATTATTAGGGTTCATTGATTCAAGGAATTGCTTAATTGTTCATATTTAATATTGAATTTAATGTAACTTTCTTCGGGTTCTAATTAACCTTGTTTTACGAAAGTAATATTCAAATACAATTCAATTTTTATCATGGTGCAAGATGTCTTCGCGGTGACGAAAAAATCAGGAATTCTTTTTTGCACACGAACCTAAAAAAAATCAAGCCAAGCGTCCACTAATTGAAAAATTAGTGGACGGTGGGGAATAGGCAAATAACATTGGGAGTTGCAGTGATGATATCACGATTGACTTATAATAATTATTATTTGGCAAAGAAAAGTACATTTCTTCAGTGCCAGGAACAAGGAATAGGTGTAAGCAGAAAACTTCTCTTATTCCTCATCAAATAGATGCAAAAAAATTGAAACATTAATCTTCTACTAAAACAAAACCAAAAGTGACTTAACTAAAATGGATTAAATATTTTAAAATCCTGATTTGAAGTTAATTTTCAACAGTTAATAAAATTAGAATAAATTACCATTATTATCATATTAGAAATAAATAAATTAATAGATTATTATTATTATTATTAAACTTTTGACAGACACGAAATAAATTTTGTGTCTGATAAGTCACAGCCACATTTTACAAAAATGGAACATCCTTATACATTGCCTTCCATCGGGTTCTGTTTTTAGCAATTTCTTTAAGTTTATAAAAATCAACAATGTTATCGAGATTCAGCCCTTTTTCTTTTATATCAGATTTAATTTTTGCAAATAAATTAACACAGTGTCTTCCTTTAACCTGATCCAGGAATTCGAAAGAGAGGTGAAC